GTTTGCGACACAAATATTTTAACCTTCGCAAACATAGCAGCAGTAAGGAAATCTTCGCGCAACATATAACAGAACACGGGTAATTCCCGCGGGGGACGCTAGTGCGTAAACACGGGTAATTCCCGGGCGATTCCGAATGGTGACCGCGAGTCCCCCTTACTGCCTACGGGTTTGGTACGGGTAAGGTGGTCAAATCGGATATTTGCCTAAAAGTCCGTAGAGTTGGCTCGAATAATTCCCGAGGGGGCCGCCGTTACGTGGGGGCAGGTAATCCCCGGCGTATTCCGAATGGTGACCGCGAGTCCCCCTTACTGCTGCTTGACTCTATATTAATTTATAATTAATGTTATTAGCAGTAAAATCACAGCAAGATCATATTTTATCGTCTACCTTAAACTTACCATATCGTCGGGTTATTGTTGTTTTGATCTTTTTTGAAATCCTTCAAGCTATCTTCGGCTGATTTTCTTGGACAACCATTTTGAAAAATTAAGCTGCAATCTATGGTTTATGCTCTTATGCCATCTTTCGATGCGTTCGACGCAAAACTCACCAAGATAATTAATATTTCTTTGGTTCAAATAATCTAGTCGTCAACATTACACCAACTGTCGAGATTTCCTTTGATGCATTCCATTGAGTCAATCATTTGGAGATTTTAAGTCGCTTTAGATTAAAATTAGCTCTTTTTACTTCCGATGTTACTTTCAGTCTTAGAGTTGAGTTCATTAAGTATTCAAACATAATCTTTTCCTTCGTCTTCAGAATTCAAACATTTGGGAAAAAATTCAAAAAAAGTAAAATTATGAAAACAAAAGTAAAATTTTGTTGATGAAAAGAGATCTAATATAAAAAGTGCAATATTGTGGATTTTTTTCCCCTTTCTTTTCCTCTAAATTACTTTTTCCGGTTCGATTTTCCAGGGTCCTGAAGGGGTAAAAATAGGAGATGAGATTCACCTTTTTTGGGCTGGGAAAATTGGATTTTATGCACTAGAAATGGGATTCACAAACCCAAAAAAGTCAAAAAATGGGAATCGGAATGAGATTTGAGCAAAACATAGGATGGAACTATGGGATTTAGTCAAAATTGGGGATGGGAAATGGGATTAGCTCCTCTCCCCTCCGTTCAGGTCCCTCCTTCAAAAGTTTTTAAAAACCGAAAACGAACTTATAATTTTACACTGCATTTAATTAAAATCTCTTTTACGTCGCACAAATTGTTTTCTGAAGATGAAAAACACGATTACACAAATGAAAGACATACAAAGATCATTATCCGTATTGAAGAAATTTAACAGGCCACGTAATGAAGAACTTTATGTCGTTTCATGACGGCCTTTTCATGTGTTTTGATACTTTTTGCTTTACTTAGCAATGAATTCGGAAGTTAAGTGTCAAAGTGTTGACATAGATAACAATAATGATGAATTCATAATAGTTTGTTTTATCAGCCATAAATTTAATAAATATGATCCGAGCTTTCGGCCTACACGGCAATCCTCAGGAAAATGAAAAACGTTACAATTGACAAAGAAAAACGCAATCAAACCATAAGATAATGATGAAGTTCTTAGCTGTGGTATGCAGTTGTACGTTGTGAGCATGCGCACTTAGTTACAGACTCGAAGTAAAGAAGACTAACTCTTAATAGCTGAATAAATACTCAACAAAGCCGAGCAATGGTCAATGTACTGATTTGTTTACATTGGTTCTTAATAACACATACAGAATATATGCTCCAGTTTAGAATACTCTGTTGCCCAGCCCTGGCTTGATTTTGTGCAGAAATTTGTACATGTTCCAGGTGAAGGTCCGCGGAAGAGGCCCTTAACGGTCACGTGTCTCTGTCCTGGTGAGCAATTTTTTTAAATCTTATTTTAAATTGGTGATTCTTTTTAGCTACTTGTAAAGAACTGAATGAAACGATGTGTAACCAGTGTATTACGCAATGCAGTTTTATTACGATCTCTCAAAACAGGTTGTAGAAATTTTGTTTGCTCACCAGTATATTTCATCCATGGGAATCAAGATGTTTATTCATTTGCTCTCAGTGAATTAATCAGCACGTGATTATTGAGCTGCAAAGGGCCTATTTCAAATTGTTTGTATTATTGAAGTTGTCCGTTCTTTACTTTAATTACCGTCGTTATTTATGAATATTCTGACGTTTAAATGAGGCTTACCCTAAGTAAATGAGTCTGTAATCAAGAAACACAGCGGTAATTTGGAAGGTCTATTGTACAAATAGTGGTCGCTAAAAAAGCGTATTTTCATGTACGTCAGTCATGATGTTGCCATGATATTCCATAACCAAATGCCCTTTAAAAAATTTTGTTTTCCGTTAATGTAATGGAAACGCTTTGATGCTTCAGTCACGTGACGGTAAAAGGATCATGATGTTAAGTATAACCAATAAGAAATGTTTTTCTTTGATTGATTTAACCAACGGTCGAAGAAGAAAAGCCATATGCCTAAGTGTTGTGTGCTTTTGGATATGATTGAAGATTTGGAAATCGAACATAGTGTATAATAGGCCCTTTGCAGTTAACGGTCACGTGTCTGTACTGGACTGCAAACTTTTTTTTTTAGATATTAAATTGGTGATTCTTTTTAGTTACTTGTAAAGAACTGAATGAAAACATGTGTATCCAGTGTGTTACGAAATGCAGTTTTATTACGATCTCTCGAAACAGGTTGTAGAAAGTGTTTGCTCTCCATTATATTTCACCCATGGGAATCAAAATGTTCATTCATTTGCTCTCAGTGAATTAATGAGCACGTGATTGCTTAGCTGCAAAGGGCCTATTACTAGACAATTACATAGTTGTCACCGCCTTATCTTCATTTACGTGAGGGTGACTCGCAGCGATTGCCAGTAAAGGCGGGTGTGCATGAACAGTAGAACCTTTTCTTGTCAATGTTTTTACACGTACCTCCATTCAAGCAAGGGTTTCTGACACAAGGACCTATCGATCAATGATCGTTAAACTGATTAGTCTCAGTTTAATCTTCAAAGATAGTACTAATGCATCCTACCTAAAGGAGTGTCACAGGTTCGTCCAGTGTATCCTGCACTACAGCTGCAGTAATAGGTATCCTTCCCCTCCAGGCACGTGGCACCATTTTGACAAGGTTTCGTGGAGCAGTAAAAGGCTGTGACATGAATAAAAGTGTAATTTTGTTATACCACTGTGAAGTGCATATTATATTCCATCTTTAAATAAACAGGTCTTCTGTATATTTGAGGCTATTATCGATGCTTGGGCCTGTTTTCTTATGTTTTATTTTCTTCGTTTTTCTGCCTGCCTGCCTGCCTGCCTGCCTGCCTGCCTGCCTGCCTGCCGAAGCTAAATATGTCTTTTTGCCGTATGGTTTCACACTCATACGAAAACCACTGTAACACGTGAACTTTACATTTTCAGTCTTACTTACCAGGGGTAGAGAAATTACATTTGACAAGTGTGGGGACCGTGGAAATGTCTTCAGTAATCCAATAATGTCGACTCTCAGGGGTACCCTTGGAGGCATTTTTAATCTCGTCACAAGAAAGCGCGGGAAGATGGAAACTGGTACCAAGTAGAACTGGAAGAAAATTTGTAAATTAATTGATAGAGAAATAATTAAAGTATTACATATTTTTGTGTATGTGTGTTAATCAAAGTAACTAACAATAGGCAAATGAAATAGTAATTGTGCATGTTCGTATTTTGAACGACCTCTGCGTTCTTGGACGCCACGTGATTTAATAAACTATTATTATAAAATATATATATTAGTATCGATATTAAACTGTTTTGATCAATTTGCAAAGTAACCTATACTACAATATCGAGTATTCAAATGTTTCGGCAAAATGAAACATGTTTGGGTGTTATAATCTTCATTGACTTGCGAATCTAATGCAGTCGGAGATTCCACACACACAAAAAAAAACTTAAACAACGATCATTCTTTTTTTTTTTTTTTTTTTTTTGAAAAAAACATTTTTTTTTTTTTTTTTTTTTTTTTAACAACAATAATTTTCCGTTCTATGAAATACCTCGATCAGGATTTTCAAAATACATAGCACCAGGTGAGTATATCATGTGGGACATCCTTAGTAACGCTGTTCTGTTATTCACTTCACATTTTCTTTCTTTGAAGAAGTAGTTCAGGCTTTGACAAATATCGGTGTCCTTGCAGTAATAGTAACAAGAGGATACATCTTTGACGACGGCTGTGTTTATAACATGGTTTTTTAAGGAGACCCCCGGAATTGAAGTAGAACAAGCGCCGGACAGGGGGTCGGTGCACGAAGACAGGAATATCACGAGGTAAAATAAGGCGATAAAACCGATGTTATGAACCATCTATAAAAAGAAATTACAAATGAAAAAAAAAAAGAATCGCCTCCCTAATAGCAATTCAATCTTTGGCTTTTACAAGATCTCCCTCCATTTTCGAGTTCTGAATAATTCTTTGATATCATAAAATATTATTCTATATTCATCTATTTCAAAACATGTTGACATCGAGAAAGGCGATACGCGACATGGAAATGGTTTTGCTGAATACAAAAAACACTGAATCAGTCTCAACACTAAGGTCCATGTTCTTGACGAGAATAAGAAGCAGAAACATAAGTCATTCCAGCTATTCTTGTATCTTGGAATGACCTATCTCTTTCGCCTATTGCTTATCACCTTTGGCGATGACCATCGTTTTTTGAAATAGGTGTATACTAATAAGATATGGTGTAACATATTAATCTAGTCTAATCTAGATAGCAAGATAAACTGAGATTTTTACTGATTCCTAAAAACGCTTTTCTGGTAAATTAGATGTGCCAAGTAAAGGGATTTTTTCCTTTGTCAATTTCATGCTTTCAAGATCGTAAATAGATTTTGTATCTGTCTTGAATATGTTACTAGTAAAAACGTATTTGAACGAGAACTGTGAAACACGAAATAACATTACCATCACATATGCGGCAACTCAATCCAGGCACAGTACAGAACTCAGTAGTGAAGCGATATAATCGATTACGGTACGGCTCCAGTCACTACCTGTTTTTAATATGTGCAATTCTTGTTGATACAAAGCTTTACATTCCCCGAAAATCTGACTATTACCTAAAAACGCCTGCTCGCTCAAGCAAGGTAATATAGACTAATAGTTATACTTGTTTAAATAAGGGGATATTTTTGAACAAATAGTAATTTTTTTTCCAAATGAAATTTATGTGACAATCATATTATGTTTTAAATTTTCTTTGTATATTTTGTACGTAACCATAGTGTTAGCAATTTAAAGAGAAACATTGATACTAATATTATTAAATGGAGTTCAAGTCTAGAGAACTTGAAAAATAATCATAAAAAGCTGTTGGTGTTTTTATTAAGAATTCTGGAGAGAATGTTTGTGTTAGCCGGTGATGTTGTCTCTAGATAAGTAGCAACCTTAATTAGCAACACTAGTGTTTCCGATGGAGGTAAATAAAGGTGTTAGAATGAGTTTGGATCGTGTTAGTCAGTAATATTAATATTGCGATCAAAATACAAACAAGCTGTGGCTATGATAATCCTTACGCTTAATCAGCATTTGCTGCCATAATTTTAACTTGCTTGAACAAATAAAGAATGTATACATGTATGTATCTAACCCCATTTATTTATTTATTTTTATTTTTTTATTTTTTTATTTTTTTGTAGGAAATGGAAGTGGATAATTTTAAGAATTGACACATTGACTCTCTTAAAATTATCTGTTTCCATTTCCTACAAAAAGAAAACAAAAGGACGGTGCCTACTACMGTAATTGATTTTTTTTAAATGACTATGTGAATTATTTTAACCCTTTTATCAAAGGGTTGTAAAATTCTGGTTAGAAAAGTATATTTAAAAGAAATAACAAACCTTAAAAGAAAAATATGTGCCGAATATTTATAAATGTTCCTTCCTTCCTCCTTCCTCCTTCCTCCTTCCTCCTTCCTCCTTCCTCTACTCCCTCATTTCTTTCCTCCCTCACTCGATCACTCCCTCCCACTCTCCCTCCCTCCTTTACTCCCTCACTTCTTTACTTTCTTTTTTTCTTCCTTATTTCGTCCTTTTGTTCTTTCCTCTTTCCCTCCTTTCTGCCTTTTTTAAAGAATAAAGGTAGTCGAAAAACATGACATGTATTTTTTTTACGTAGGTGTTCCCCATCTATCCCCCACACAAGCCATATCCAAAACTACCAAAAAACCGTCACAACATACCGCGTATGTTGTTTTCATGTCATCTTCTGATTGGCTATTTCTCTTTTTTTTTTTTCTTTTTTTTTTTTTTTTTTTTTTTTTTTTTTTTTTTTTTTTTAATTGTTTGTCCGAAACTATTGGGAACTGGGTATGGGTACTATACATTCTGGAATAGAATCGTGTTTGTCATATTCATTCCGTGCATGAAGTGCTTTCATTTATTCCGAAGAAGCTCATGCAAGACGATAAATAACTCGCTGAGAGAAGGTACTGTCCATGCATTTATGATAATATAACATAATATATTGTTACAGTGAGGAACAAATACATACTTTAAATCATTCTATCGGCCAGCCAATTGGAAATAAGACTTTTTTGGTCACAAGGCGTCTTTTTTTGAACTCCGTGCTTTATTTTAGAGGGTTTGAAAAAATAGAAGGTTCAGGAAATGTAATAATTTGTAACAAATTCAAACGGTTTAAGTGTTCAAGTTTCAACTCCTCGCTAATTGCTCTTGGAGTTCATGAAGAGAATAAATATAGGTTTAGATAAGAGATGATAATAGTATTTAGCGGTTATTGATTCAGTTTTAATCCCGTTCGCTTCCATTTTTTTAAAGGATTTTTTTTTTGAAGATTTGAACAACAACAACAACAACAACACAAATACGACAGGGCAGAAAAACGACAAGCCCGCTACTTTGATGATTTTTTTATTTAACTGAGTTTAATACTCCAAATGTTTAAGCGTTTCATTCGTGACGCGGCTGCTCGAAACTTGTGACGAAATTTTAACTTAAGTTTAGGGTAAATCTACTTAGTATTTACGAAAATTGTCGAGTTTTTCTGCTGACCAAAATATCACCTCTCCCAAAGTACACGGTTTTATACCTCAAATACGCATTCAATAAATTTTGGTTGCATTTGATATTTTGCTATACTATTTGGCTCGAAAAGTACGTGTTTACAAAACTGAGCTTAAATACGTAAAGCTGTCCTTATGGCGAAAGGCCAAAAACCTTTTTTCTGCCTTTCCACAAATACAAGTTTTCCGGCATTCCTTTTTTATAATTTCATTATATGAATTTTTTTCATTATATAGTTTCATTATCCCTTCTGCAAAAATTCTATTCTTTTTCCCTTTTCCTATTTATCATCACGTTTTGGGTTGTATAGAATTTGCCTACTTTATGACAACAAATTCTGCCCCATACCCAAGCAATAAACGATTATTTAGCGCTAAGCGATAGAAGATAGGTCATTCCTAGATCCAATAATTGCGGCAATGACTTGTGTTTATATTTATTATTCTCGAGTAGTATAGGGAATGGGGGTTCCAGCGCAATCTCAACACGGGCAAGATCCGTGTCAAAAATCCACCTACGGACGACCCCCACTCCAAGTGTGGTTGAGGGCAACAGCGCACTTAAATATGTTAGTC